GACGTAGCGCTGGGGGGCTGGCCAGTGCTTGGAGATGCTCAGGGGATGCTGGGGAGCTGCTCTGCACTTCATCCGCATCCAGAAGGACCCCCCCCAGCCACCCACCGGTTGCGGGAAGCCACGGGGGAGCAAGGAGGGACAAGGTGGGCACGTTTCTGGGTATCTGCCGGTCTGATGGACCCCCTGCCTGCATCAGTTCAGTCTGTAGGGCGTGAGGCAGCAGCCTGCCAAGGCCAGGAGGCTCCAGGTCATACCCAGCCGGCCGGGCCAGGCAGAGCAGAGGAAAGCTAGCTGTCAGCGGGGCTCCCCGCACCCCAAAACTCCCTGCCCACTGCTGGCAGAGACACCACAGCATCCTCCGCAGCATCACCCCCCCATCCAAAGGACCCCCTGGCCCTCCCCGGGGCCAGCACATCCCTCTTCATCTTTTTGCCCCCGGGTCCAGCTCCCGGGACAGGCTCCCTTCGGCCAAGGGGAGCAGCACGGTGGAGCCCTCCGGCTTTACCTAAAGTGCTGGGAAATCAAACAAAACGAATGGAGAAGAAAGGGAAGGGCAGGAGAGGGGTGGAGAGGAGGGGCAGGTGTCAGCAAGCTGCCTCCAGCCATCTGTTGCCAGCTCGGGGACTCCAGGGCCCCCCCAGCTCTGCGCCTGAGGGGGACAACGCTCGCTCTTGGGGGGGGTGGACACTGCGCGATCGCATCCCCCACCTAAGCACAGCCGCATCGGGGAGTTTCGGAGGGGGATGCTGGCCCGATGCTGGCCCTCCCTCCCTCCCTCCGTGGGGCTCGTGGGCTGCCTGGGTGCCTTCACCGCAGCTGAGCTCATGGGGAGGCTCAGGTGACCATTGCCCCCTGCTCCCTGCGTGGAGGGAATACTGGGGTAACCCCTCAGCTCCCCCCTAAATCTCTCTGGCCAAATGTGCCCCCTCCTTGCACACGGGAGGGGTGGGTGCAGCGATTGCCTGCAAACCAGGGCCGGGGCTTTGGTTCCTTCACCTGGTCTGGGACAGCCAGGACCAAAAACCTCCAGGCAGCATCACTTTGACCCTGCAGTGGAGATGCTCCTGACTTACACCAATATTAGGACAACCGGACCTCGGGCACAGCTCTGCCGGTGTGCTCTTGAGCCGCTAGCACACACAGGGTGTTTTTCCCATGCTTTCCCCTTTTTCTCAAGCTGTACTGGGAACAGGGAACCAGGAGGAGGAGAAATGAGAGGCTGACCATCGCAGCATCCCTCCCCTGCCCTGCCAGCCCAGGGGCAGCAGTGCTCCGTCCGTCCCTGGAGCCTGGTTTGGGTTCCCTACATCGAGGTTTATGCAAGGCTAAGATGAACCACACCTGGATGAGCCGGTGCGCAGACACTCGGGCAAGGAGGGCTACCCTTTGAGATAACCGGGGTGCTGGGAGACATCCACAGGGCTTGCGGACCCAGACCCCCCACCGGGGAGACTGCTGGAGGCCAGGCAGAACACCCCGAGCATCTCCCAGGACACCTGCACGTGTGTGCCCGAATCGTTCCCCTACCCTTGGGCAAGGTGAACTGCCCTGGGGGGAGGCAGGAGAGGTCCCCCACGTTTTGAAGGAGAGATGCTGAAAATTCAGGGTCCTGGGTGGAGGGATGCTCTGTCACCCACAGGTACTTGCCCCAGCTCATCCGCTGCGTCTCACCTTGTTCTCGCCCTTGGAAACAGCTGAGCTTTCTGAAAAGATCCCTCCAGGATTTATCCTGGCATGGACCACGGCAGCCCAGGCATCACAACTGAGGGCTCTGGACGGCCGCAGCCCCGGGTACCACCACCAGCTCCCGGCCATTAGAGCTTTTGCAAAGTGAGGATGAAGAGGGTTACAGCTCCATCTGAGCCCCCGTAAGGCAAAGCCTGCTGCATTAGATCCTAATC